CCCCCCCCACGCTGTCGTTTATCTTGGCTGAGCTTATCGTTGCACACTAACTGGCGGGCCTTCCCCCTGTTCCAATTGAGACATAACAATATGAGTGGCCAAGCTCGGTCGGGTACGAGTTCCCGCAGCGTGCTGGGAAGCGTGCGCGCGTACTGCAGATTGGGACGGCAGCTTGGAAAGGAGAGGGGGAAAAAAAAAACGCCATGATCTGACCTGTTCGTACGCGACCTCAGGAGACTTTGACACGGTGCAGAGGCCCTCCACGCCCATCAAGGAGCTGGACGAGCGAGCGTGCCGCAGCGGAGGCTCCAAGTCGCGGGGCAGGAGCCGCAAGAACAACCCCTCGCCTCTGCCCGATAGCGACCTGGAGGTAAGGCCAAGGGCGCGTACCTCCTCCTCGGGGCCGCCGCGTGCTGACGGACGCCGTCCTTCATTGTTGTGCGATCTCGGCTTGGTTTTCGCAGAGGGTTTTTGTGTGGGATCTGGATGAGACCATCATTGTCTTCCATTCTCTGCTCACGGGCTCCTACGCGCAGAAATACGGCAAGGTGAGACACTGAGCATCCCGCCGACGTTTCCGGGTCCGCGCGTTGGCTGCCTCGCCCTGCAGCGGGGACTTACTCGCAGATTACGGAAACCGTCATGGCACAAAGACAGACAAGCATTTGCGCAATCACCAATTCGAGTGCCCAGTCAACCCGCCGCGCCTGCTGACATGTCCATTCAAAAGAAACGCCGTGCGGCTGCTCACCGATTTCGAGACGGATTCGGGTGCGCAGGTCACCGCGGACGCGTTTGGCTCTGACCCGCCAGATGCCGACACTGTGGAGGCCCAACGTCTCTGGCCCCTGTGAGGATACATTTGAAATTGTTACGAGGGCCGGGACGACTGATTTGGAACATCTCTCTGATTGAGGAAAAAAAAAAAAAATCTCACATCCCCATGTACCGGAAGCAGCACAGTCAAGAGAAATACAATCCAATGCAGGGAATAGACGGGTGGGTCATATATCACACTTGAGCTTGGAAGCTCGGTTGCGCGACTCTTGTATTGGATCCGTGACTGTGTGCGACTTTTCAACAAATGCTCCATAGCAAAGGACGAGAAGGCAAGTCGAGTCTCGGCCCGAGAGTGGACAAGGCTGCTGCGTGTCCTTCCCCGGTTGTAGGAACCATCCAGAGGGTCGCGTGACGTCATCACTTTCGGATAAAGTCGACTTATCGTCTCCTAGTTGGAAGCGAGCCAACAAATTGCACAAATGGGGCTGAATGTACGCCTTTAAATAAGAGCACGGGCGCCCCCGCTTGCATGAGATACCGCGGCAGCTGTGTCTGTTCACACCTCTCCCAAAATAGTGTTTATGCTGTTGGCATAGCAACCGCGTGACCCGTATAGCCTCTCTCACGCGGGCCGCCGGGATGCATTGGCTCTGGATAAACTTCCCCTTTTTTTTTAGGACAAATGGGAGCGCACGTCTCCGTTTCGTCACCAAACGACGTTCCGACGCGAACGGTTTGAGCCACCGCTCTTCTCGGGCAATATCGTTTGGGATGCTGGCCAAACCTGTCCAAATTTCAAAAGACATTTGCTCAAGACTGCCGTCATTTTGCGAAGGGAAGGACGCTTATATTTGTCCATCGCCGTATGCGTTAGATAGAGAGATGAAAGAGAAGATGATGCAGTTTAAGTGGATGATGAATGCCGTGGGGGGGAAAAAAAAAAACGCAGTGAGTGAGTGTCGCTCATTTCATTGTTGTATAATTTTGTTGTCAACAGCTCTTTGTCCGTCTTTTGGTTGTGGTAGTTTTCTAGTTTGAGGTGTCACACAGACTCCAAGCGGACGAAGACATGCTGGAAAGCTTGATGGCGCGTTGCCTTTCATTATTAGGTCACTTTCTCCCAGCCTCCGTCTCTTGCCCACTTTCACTCTTGCCCATCAGTTGGCCCGCTTCTATTCTGGTGCACCGACAGTGTGCCCCCCCCCCCCCCCCCCCCCCCCCCCCCAGCCCACCCTGTCGCGCGTGATGATTTTTGCAGCTGAGCCGCACGCACGCATTGCAAGCCAGAGGGAATGTTGATGGGCCAGAACAAGTGCGAGCTGTCCGTCATCGACCGCGGAGACGAGCGCGCGTTTTGTTGTGAACCAAACGATGCTATTTTGCCCTCGCTCAGGACCCCCCCATGGCGGTCACGCTGGGCCTGAGGATGGAGGAGATGATCTTCAACTTGGCCGACTCGCACTTGTTCTTTAACGACTTGGAGGTGAGGCGCCGAGGTGCACTTTCAAAGCATTTGCGGCGGTTCCGGTTCACGCCAAGTGAGGCCAACAGCAGCGGGACGGCAACAAAGCCACGAGAGGCCACTTGCGGCACAACTAGCAGTCCCACCGAGAATCATTTCACCTGGCAGTTTTTTTTACGAATCTTAAAAAATTTCAACTCGCATACTTTAACACGAGGAGTAGGCAATCTTGGGTAAAAGTACAAACTTGTGACCGCAATTAGGTCACAAACATCATTCAAGAATTAAGTTTAGATTTAAAAAAAAAATTGGGGGGGTTATTCCTTTTTCTTTGTAACTGTTCATCTTCGTGCTATCATGTCATTGTGTGTGTGTGGATGTAGGAATGCGATCAGGTACATATTGACGATGTCTCATCTGATGACAACGGGCAAGACTTAAGGTGAGAATAACTCCCATCGGGATCGATGGTATTCCTGATTATATCTTCGGAGAAATCAAGAGATTTGCACATTTTAGGCCTTTGAAATTCTTTTGCCAAAATGAAAGCCGTCCTCCTCTTCGACAGCACTTACAGTTTTGCAACGGATGGCTTCCATGCAGCCGCCACCAGCGCCAACCTGTGCCTGGCTACGGGCGTCCGCGGCGGCGTCGACTGGATGAGGAAGCTGGCCTTCCGCTACCGACGCGTCAAAGAGTTGTACGGAACGTACAAAAACAACGTGGGGGGTAAGATACACGCAGCCCATCGAAAAGACGTGAGCCTCGGGTCGGCCGCGCGCTTGAGTCGCCGAGGTTGTAACGCATCGGCGCCGCGTCGCAGGTCTGCTGGGTCCCGCCAAGAGGGACGCTTGGCTGCAGCTGCGCGCCGAGGTGGAGGCCCTGACCGACTCGTGGCTCACTCATGCCCTCAAGTCGCTTTCCATCGTCAGCTCCAGGTGCCGCTTCCCGCCTCTTAGCGCCGGGGGAATCATTGGCGAGCGTTACCGATACTGCCGTCCCGTCCCGCAGGAGTAACTGCGTCAACGTGCTGGTGACCACGACACAACTCATACCGGCGCTGGCTAAAATTCTGCTGTACAGTCTGGGCTCCGTGTTCCCCATCGAGAACATCTACAGCGCGACAAAAATAGGTAAGACGCGTGAACGTGCAAGGGATCAACGAGAAGCCGCTATGGGAACAACTTCACAACTTACGACGCTGGGGTGGGGGCAACGCTGAAAAGTTGTTTACGCTTTTAGAGTTTACTCGAGCCGTCCGAAAAGACTTTAAAAAAAAATGATTATTCAAATAATAATCATAACGACAACAACGCCCAGGTAGTAAAAAGCGACAAAGTTGCCGTTTCCCTTCGGTTCCTTCATTCCCCTGAGCGGGAACAGAATGCGCATGGATTGACTGTGACAGGTCACGTCACCACAAGGAGCGACCTTCAAGCTCACCTGTGTACGGACGGCACTCGTACCCTTCCATCGGCAGTCTTCCTTTCCGCTTCCATCGGAGACATCGCGTGCACACTGAGGACAAAGCAAATAAAGAGCAACTCATTACAGCCAAGTATTGACAAGCCTTCCGGGCAGCGGCGTGGCTTGGTCCTGCCTCTGCTAGAAGACAGTTAGCACCTCATATCGTTCTAGGAAGGTCACGGGGTTTTTTGTTTTGAATGTTTCACATGGAATTATGAGCCAGACGACAAGGCAACGCTGTGAAAGCTATTCTGTGTCTCCAGGCAAAGAGAGCTGTTTTGAGCGTATTGTGTCCCGCTTTGGCACTAACATTACATATGTTGTGATTGGCGATGGCAAGGATGAGGAGCATGCAGCCGGTCAGGTAAATGACTTTTCCACTCCTTTTGTGTTCACCCGACCCTTTCTTCCTCCTTGTTTCTTCTGCAGGAAAAGAGAGTTGCTTTGAGCGCATAATGCAAAGGTTTGGCAGGAAAGTAGTGTATGTTGTAGTGGGGGACGGTGCGGAAGAGGAGCAGGCGGCCAAAAAGGTAATTGGACCTGGCCGGCCGTGGGCCCGCCCACTCGGCGCCGTGTGAGCTCTCTGATTGGCTGACGCCCGCCTGTCTTTGCTCGCGAGGTTTTTTGAACTGCCGGACCTTGCTGTGGGTGCTTTCTTCCGAGTCTGTACGATTACGCTCGAAAGATGAGCGAGACGCCGCCGCCCCGCCCCCCTTTCCCCCAGCACTCGACTCGTTAACGAGGCGTACGAACGGAAAAGCGGTTAACCAGAGTGGAAATAACGTCAACGTTTGAATTCAATTTTCAGTCCGGGCCAAAAGGGCCATCCTCCGGAAAGCTGCTCGCGCATTTTTTCGACATCATCCACTGGCAACGGTTCTTCCCACTGGCTGGGTAGCGCACGATTAGCCCATACTATGAAGCCCGAAGTTAAACCCTGCGAGCAATACCAAAATGTCCACCGGCCGCGTTATCGTCGATGTTCGTAGATTAAAGCAGCGGTGGAAAAACACGACGAGTAAGACACGTGTGCTGAGCGGATAATGCGCGAGCATGTAGCACATAACCTTGACGGTCCACGTCCGAGTAGACTCGCTGTTCTCACGAGTTAGACGACGACGTGTTAGTCACGAGGGAAGACTGCACATTATCGGTGCACATAAGCAGTTTTGCCTCATCGTAAAATTGTCGGCGTATGCCAAAGAGTTTTGCATTCTCACCAAGCGGCGTCGTGAAGCCCCGAACCCCAAAAGATGGTCAGGAAACAATTTCGACAGCTGCGGATGCGGCGCGCTGAAAAGCACAACTGCTCAAGCTTGAAAGGTGTTTGCAAAGCAGCAGCGCCATCTAGTGGTCCATAAAATGGAGACACAAATACAGTACCCCAAAAACGTGCGCAATTGCTTTTTCACATTGCTCCGATTGTAGTGAGTGGGCAGCCACTTTTGCTTACTTCAAGTCCTCGCGCGTATCCCTCCGAGGTTTTCAAGAGCCAAATTAAGCCGTCGTGGATTTGAGACACTGACCCGTATTTCTATGCCCCCCCCCCCGCCGCCTTTTGTGCCACGACTCGCAAGGTTTCCTCTGTTCGCACCAATGCCCGTTCGCTGTGTCGAGAGAATCTGCGCGTTTCTTATTCAATAGAATACTTGCAGGATTTTTTTTCTTCATTCTGGGAGTCGCGAGGATTATCGATGACAATCTTGGAATACAGTAGAGAGGAAAGATGGTCTCCAAAAAGATTTGGTTTTAGAAGTCGGATCTATTTTTGGTTCCGACAAGCATTGCAGATAATACATGTCAATATTTGGAGCCCAGTCTCAAATCGCAAACGATTTAAAACCTGGGACCAGCAATTAGATGTGGCTTTCATTTTCATTCCTGTCTAAATAATTTTTCTGCGTGGGTCGAGATTTGATGTCGGCCAAATTCAAGATGTGGCTCGGGTGGAGACCCGCGCTCCGCTCCTCTTTCACTTGACAAGGAAGCAAATTCCAAAAAGGGCTGCCATGCATGCATTTGGTTGGCCGTGTGTGCGTCTTCTTCCGGCGAGGATTTAACTGTCCCCCGACAAACTGTCATCCACAGCACAACATGCCCTTCTGGAGGATATCGAGCCACTCTGACCTGCTGGCGTTACATCAAGCACTGGAGTTCGAGTACCTCTAAATGTTCACTAAGGACTCATCACAATGGACATACTCGGACCTTTTTTTTTTAGGGGGGGCAAACTATTTAAGAAGGAACTTTACACTGCAATTTTTGTTTTCGAACGCCTGGATTTACAAACTGAATGGTCTTAAAAGCTGCGATGGAGGAGTGAAAGGTGGTCCGAGGATCCACATTAAAAAAAAAAAAAAAGACTGTTGTGACTCAAGCTCTGTCCGGTCAGCACGTAGCCACGCCAGCTGATTTTTTTTTTAAAGCATTTTTCTTTGTGGTCCGTCCGATGCAGACGCCTGTGTAAATTATTTGCGATAAATATGAAGGGCCGACCGAGGTGTGGGCGGTATGTTGAACTTCTGTTTTTTCGGGGGCGTGAGGGTTTGCTGCAGTGAATGGGAGGGTTGAAGCATTGAATGTGTTGTGCCTTAATGTGTTTTCATGTCTGTTCTTTTCAAAAGTGTAAATATTAAAACAAGGACAAAACACTCAACAAGCTTACCCTTAACATGCTCTTCAGCATTCACACAATGAATACGAAACAATTTGAGAAATGTCGTCAGTTACAAAGTCTTTTTATTTTCTCCTTTTACTTCTTGGCTTTGAAGTATTCCTCAATGACGTCTTTGGCTTGAGACTCCTTGCCATAGTCCTGTGGCGGGAATTCAAAAGAATGACAAAAAAAAAAAAACGTTTAATCCAGGAGGTGGGCCGTTTGGACTGTCGTGCTCTTTACACGGAGCCAGTGTGGGGGAGGGACGGACAGACAACCAAGAGATTTGGTTGCGGCAGACGGCATTTTTCGGTGGGTTGTGGCCATTTTCAGGGGCCCCGGTCAGCACAGGCGAGGTGACGGGGTTCGTACCGTGGCGGTCCTTCTAGCCAGTTTAAACAACAGCTGCGCGGCACGGCAGGGCCACGGCACCTGGACTTGTCTGGCACACAAAGCTGACGCGAGACGGGATCTATCGAGCGCTTCCACTCGGCGGAAAAGGGTTCAAGTCCGCCTTGCCACACGCACGACATAATAGCTCAGCGGCGACCAGAACGTTCGTTTTGCTTTCATTTTGTTTAAAAATTTGATTCCCCGTAACCCTTGATCAAAGTTTTGCCAAGTTGACGTCATAAACTTTGTTCAATGCATTCTTTAATTAAAGTTGTACTTTTAAAACAATTTTAGATCCATTGAACAAAAATGAGGGCATACTCGCTCTCACCCCCATTTTTTTAAAGCACTTTCAAAACCTGTTTGGATTTTTAGGGGTGAAATGGAGGCTTCTTGGTAGCCGTTACCTTGACGACGACGCAGCTGCAGCCCACCACCTTGCGGGGTTTGCCCTCGCGGTCAATCTTGCACAGACCGACCCACTCGCCGAGCTTCTTGTTGTCGTCAACCTGAGCGAGAGAGCGCGCACGTTGTCACGTCCCATCAAAGCAGTTGCAAACAACAATGGCAGGATAGAAAGGAAAGGCGGCAACTTGGCTGCATCTCAGACACAAATTGGGTAACAGTGGCAAAATCGTCACGGCTTTCAGTAGAGGGAGCCAGATTATCATCAGCGATGCAAGCCAGGCCTTCCAATCAACAGCTCCACATTTTCCATTTTAAAATCAATTTCCCCCGATAAGACAATTGAAAATGCACGCACATTCACCATTTTTTTCACTCTTGAAAACATGTGGAAGTAAGTTTTTTCCTTCCGGCAAACATGGTCCTTGAAATGACATTTCAAATGTTTCACAACATCACTTTGTAAAATGAGCTTAGCTGGTCCATATATTGTTCGCCAAATAGCATTTTTAACTTGCTATCACAAAAAAAAGGATAAAATATTGAACAGTTTTTATACTGTGTGGTAGACTTTGTGGGTGTGGAACGATTCTTCTTTGATCAACAAGGGGCAACTGCAGTGGTTCAAACCAAATCACCGGGCCCTAAATCTTCAAATTTGGACAACTGGTCAATTCAGACCGAAGGACTTCCTTCTGAACACGGCAGCAAGAGGGTAGCGAGGTCACGTAGGTTGGCTGACCTTGATCAGGTTGATCTGATGCTCGGCGCAGAGGGCCTCCACCAGCTTGACGTACATGGGCTCGTCGCAGTTGGCGGCGAGGACGCACAGGTGGGCCTGGCGCCTGAATTTCATCGAAGAGCGCAAGTGTGAAAGCCGTGAAATTGCAATGGAAAGTCTCAACAGGACACTTTTGTCAAACATCTCAGACACAATTGGGTAACAATGGCGTTCCTCTTCAGAGTGTTCAGTAGAGGGAGCCAAGATATCATCATTGATATTTGCTTTGACCCAAAATGGTGGCACCTTGACCTACCAGCTTCATTCACCGACGAACACGCTCAAAACAGATCAACTTTCCGCCGATACTAATAGAAATGCCAATTATTCATTCTAGGCTGCACAAAAAAAAAACACATTTGTTTGTCACTCTTTAGAAGAGCACTTTAGGGTTGCGCTGCATAAAAACATTCATAATTTCCAATTTTTTGCATTACTTCAATGGGCATTGTGCTGTTCCTTCTGGTGTGCAGAACTTGGCCACGGGGTTAGTACAGTCTGTGTACTGTCTATAAATACGCGCACACACACAATTTTAAAAAGGTTTCCAACTACCACAACGCCGATACTAGTTTTATTAGCATGCCTCCAGGCTTTCTTTTGGCAAGAATGAAGGCAACACTTTTGTACAACGTTATGTGGTTTGATTAGATCAACGTGTAACTGTTTTTTCGTCCCCCAGGAAATGTCAGCAAGGAGCAGCTTTGAGTTGCTGCCACCAGCCAATGAATCACTTTCTTAGAAAGTATGTTGAGGGGGTTATTTAAAAAAAAAAAAAAAAAAAGACGAAGAAGGAGCCATGGATTGGGTAAATTGCGTCACTAGTAAGTCAAGGTATCACAGTTCATTTGGGACAGCAGACATACTTGTCCAGAGCTTTGGCAGCCTCGCGGATACCGCGGGCAAGGCCGTCGTTGACGAGTGCGGTCTTGAGCACTTCGGGGAGAGCGGTGTTGACATCCATCACACCTCCGGCGGCAACGCTGTCACAAAAAAAAAGGGGGGGGGTTAACAAATGCAAAACATAAAACCTCCCATGGGAAAGGTGGTAAAGAGCTTCCAGCTTGTCAGAAGAGAAATGTCACCCATTGGAGAGTGAAGGGGTATCCGACAAAAGATGACAAGTCATCATTCAAGCATGTGGAAGCTGAGCTGAACGGTTGTCTCCCCCACTTACCGAGCAAAATGAGATCTGTTCAACATTTTAGTGATTCAACGTAAACAGTTTTACAACTTGAGGTAATAAAAGCAGCTTGAAGCCGACACGCTACGCGCCGTTATTGGCTAACTCGGCAAGGCAGCTATCACAGGCATTCAGGAACGCTGAAACCGAGTCGAACGCATGGCCCGTCTATACCACACATTTTCCTGGGACTGGAACCGGTCCTGCGCGTTCATATTAAAGACAAATTAAATATGAGTGTATGTACCCATCACCCAGCAGAGTCACTATATACGAGTATGCATAAGTTGGCGTATGACGTTCGTGAAGCGGCAACACTCGAACCACTTCGTTCAAAGAAAGCAAAATAAAATGCCTCTCGAATCGTTCAATTGAAACAATACCGTTACGGTGGAAGAGGGGTGAAACATAGAGAAACATCGACCAAATTATACGTTCCAATTATGTCTCGGTTTGTACATCCCACATGAGCCCGACGCTATGCTTACCCTTCCTCGGCCATTGTTGATTTAGGATGGACGGCGGACCTAAACTTCTGCAATAAAGCACAAACAGCACATAGTAGTTATTTTCCATGGCCGATCAGATGTTTCGGGATTGTCGCAAAGCAGGATGGAAGATTAATTGAGCAGATTGGGTCCAGCCGATGGGCGAACGTACCTGTTCCTCCTCTGGAGTAGCTGAAAGAGGACGTCATAAGTCCGCGACACGGTTTTCATGTAGCTTGGAAGGCCCCCTCTCAAAGGACGGCGCCCGAGGACTGCCTGCTTAGTTCTGATTTAATTTATGATGCATAAAAACATTCATAATTTCCAATTTTTTGCATTACTTCAATGGGCATTGTGCTGTTCCTTCTGGTGTGCAGAACTTGGCCACGGGGTTAGTACAGTCTGTGTACTGTCTATAAATACGCGCACACACACAATTTTAAAAAGGTTTCCAACTACCACAACGCCGATACTAGTTTTATTAGCATGCCTCCAGGCTTTCTTTTGGCAAGAATGAAGGCAACACTTTTGTACAACGTTATGTGGTTTGATTAGATCAACGTGTAACTGTTTTTTCGTCCCCCAGGAAATGTCAGCAAGGAGCAGCTTTGAGTTGCTGCCACCAGCCAATGAATCAATAAAAATGTTGGGGGGGTTTTTTAAAAAAAAAAAAAAAAAAAGACGAAGAAGGAGCCATGGATTGGGTAAATTGCGTCACTAGTAAGTCAAGGTATCACAGTTCATTTGGGACAGCAGACATACTTGTCCAGAGCTTTGGCAGCCTCGCGGATACCGCGGGCAAGGCCGTCGTTGACGAGTGCGGTCTTGAGCACTTCGGGGAGAGCGGTGTTGACATCCATCACACCTCCGGCGGCAACGCTGTCACAAAAAAAAAGGGGGGGGGTTAACAAATGCAAAACATAAAACCTCCCATGGGAAAGGTGGTAAAGAGCTTCCAGCTTGTCAGAAGAGAAATGTCACCCATTGGAGAGTGAAGGGGTATCCGACAAAAGATGACAAGTCATCATTCAAGCATGTGGAAGCTGAGCTGAACGGTTGTCTCCCCCACTTACCGAGCAAAATGAGATCTGTTCAACATTTTAGTGATTCAACGTAAACAGTTTTACAACTTGAGGTAATAAAAGCAGCTTGAAGCCGACACGCTACGCGCCGTTATTGGCTAACTCGGCAAGGCAGCTATCACAGGCATTCAGGAACGCTGAAACCGAGTCGAACGCATGGCCCGTCTATACCACACATTTTCCTGGGACTGGAACCGGTCCTGCGCGTTCATATTAAAGACAAATTAAATATGAGTGTATGTACCCATCACCCAGCAGAGTCACTATATACGAGTATGCATAAGTTGGCGTATGACGTTCGTGAAGCGGCAACACTCGAACCACTTCGTTCAAAGAAAGCAAAATAAAATGCCTCTCGAATCGTTCAATTGAAACAATACCGTTACGGTGGAAGAGGGGTGAAACATAGAGAAACATCGACCAAATTATACGTTCCAATTATGTCTCGGTTTGTACATCCCACATGAGCCCGACGCTATGCTTACCCTTCCTCGGCCATTGTTGATTTAGGATGGACGGCGGACCTAAACTTCTGCAATAAAGCACAAACAGCACATAGTAGTTATTTTCCATGGCCGATCAGATGTTTCGGGATTGTCGCAAAGCAGGATGGAAGATTAATTGAGCAGATTGGGTCCAGCCGATGGGCGAACGTACCTGTTCCTCCTCTGGAGTAGCTGAAAGAGGACGTCATAAGTCCGCGACACGGTTTTCATGTAGCTTGGAAGGCCCCCTCTCAAAGGACGGCGCCCGAGGACTGCCTGCTTAGTTCTGATTTAATTTATGAATAGCAAACTAAACATGCGACTTTGATCATGTCCATTGCTTTTATGATGGACATATACACACATCTGCTGACTAAAGAGAAAAAATAGCTGCCACTGCTAAATGTAGAAAGACTCAACTTTTTGCAATGCCGTGTGAGGGAGAAAAGGGTGGTTCAGTTAAATCATACAAATTTGAATGGGTAATAAAATTGCGCACGTCACTCAGTAGGCCATGTACCTGAAAGGCACACAAGATGTGCTGTGCCGTCACAGTGCAGTACGAATATTCAAATAAAAAATATTCCTTTCTCATGAGGCTACGGGGTACAAGAAGTAATCTCCTGACTTTATTTTAAAATTACGCAATTCAAATATTCTAAACATCATTACAAACTAGTTTAATTCGTTACAGTACATTTAAAAATGTTTGGGGAAAGGGGATTGCAAAAGTTAATGTTTCATTACCAATGGAGAAAGTTGATTCGATGTACAAGACGAGCTTGGTCACAGAATAAATTGAATAACTGCAATAACTTTATGGCTCAAAACAGACTTTGAAGCTGCTTTGATTGGCTCTTTGAAATTGGCTGGATGAAATGTGCGCCACAATTGATTTGTCTATATGGTTGTCCAGCAATACACGATGTAGCAGACGGCGATCAAGTCGTTTTTAACTTGTTCTTTATTGGTTTGTGTCATTGAAGAGGAAGTCAACCCAAAAACACAGGACGGGGAGAAGATACAAACTCCACACTAGAAGGCCAGCCCCGGAATTGATTGCCGGATCTCTGCCGTGTAGTGCGGTCGTGCTAGCCAGTTGGCCACTATCACTAATTCAATGCATAGGGTATTCTGGAAAAAAAAAATCAAGAAAGTATTGGAAGAGTCCCAGGAATAGGTCAAGTGTCCTCTCAGAGTTAGATTTTGAGAAAAGCTTCCAGATCTTCACACTCAAGTGCTTCTTCGAACGCACTCATGTCCTGAATGGAGAAAAGGGGGTGGGGGGGGAACACACAACATGTGACAACATGTAGCGCACATGTATTTGTTGACGGAATTGTGAATCACAGTGCCTGTTATTTTCACACACTTACTTGACCAAGTATTGCTTATTGCGAATCGAGTTTACTCGGACTACACCGCACTCGAAGTTTGAGTCCGGGCTCACAAGTCAAAGTCAAAAAAATGTCGCAAATGAGTTCTGGCATTTCAAGGCAACACTGGAAATGCTTGATGGACCAGACTACAGTTTAGGGCGTGTGTCGCTACTGTGTCTGTGCGCTGTTGTAATAGCTCAAATATTGGTTTTAGTTGCATGTGCCCACACACCGTGACGGGATGAATTAAAAAAAAAAAAACAACTTACTCCGCAATAAGTATCTCCGTTACATATTTGCGGTGGCAATGCTGTTGGGTTCCCAGCGATTGACCTCATTAATCCCTTGTCCGCATCACTCGCGGCAATGTCCACTTTCTCAAAAGGAATCTTCTTGCTCTCAAGGACCATGAAGAGTTTCTGTTGGCCTTTCTTGATCTAGAGGAAAACACAATTGAAACAAGTAAGGTAGACTTTTGGGACCAAGTCATTCTTAAGTCCGCAAAAGGGAACAATACTGTACCTCATGGCTGCTGCTCACACTGGTGTAAAACACTTTGACTGGCATGACTGCAACCTGAACCCCAAAACAAGTGATTTCAAGAAGCATCCGGTGGCAGAACGTGTGTGTCAGAAAGCAGACAAGGCAAGCAGGTTTGGACATGATTAACCTGGCTGTGGGGGTGTGTAGGCACGCCCACTATGTGTGCGACTACCTTTCCAGTTGTGGCTTGTTGACACACACAAACGCACACGCACGAAGAAGTGCTTCGTTGGAGTAAAAAGAAAGTTTTATTGTTTTGTAAAGGTACAAACATTGCTAAGAGCAACAAAAAAACCCAGCACGATAACTCGGCGGGAATATTTAAGGTCTGGTGTTCACTCCTTCAAGCAACAAATGGCCACTTTGGTGTTAGGCAAGCGCACGAATGCGATCCATCCTCGTATGCCGGTTTGCTAAGTAGCAATTGCGACAGCATGGATGATAGTCGAGCCCCGGGGGAAAGGGACCGTCCCAGCCAGCAAAAAATTCTTCAGAAAGAATACATACGTTTTACATGGAAAACAGGGCTAGGAAATGGGGAGAAGGGGCGTGCACACAAAAACACCCCAAATATTTATTTTATCAAAAAAAAAAAAATTGTTCAAATACTGAAAACATTTTGGAGAAAAAAAAACAAAACAGCAAATCGACGAAACAGCGTGTAAGCGGGGGTTGACCGTAGTGATGAAATGAGAGCAAAATAAACTCTGTTCTTTTGACCAATGCAGCAATAGAAAGAGCGCATAATAAGCGAAGCAAACATATCGGCGCGATCAGGATAAAACGAGCGGTTCCAGCTCATAACACACTCTGCCGGCCAGGTCCTCGGGGACCCTCTCCGCATTGTCCGCTTCGGCTGTCATGTCTGCCGGTTGGCTCCGAGCGGCTCCCTCGCCGGCGGCCGCGCTGAGGAGAGAAAGTGCGTTTTGACACATTTCGTGCGAGGTCGAGCTGAAAAGCATTTTTTTCCTTTTCCCTACCCGCCCTCGAGTCTTCCGTTGCCCGTGTCGTCAGAGTCACCCTTGCCGACTCCTCCGAGTCGGTTGCTGAACTGAACCAAGGTGCCTGCAAGTGAGAACGAAACATCCTGACCGAAAAATCCAAAAGAACCAGCTGGGAGTCACTACCTGGCATCATTGGAGTTACTTTTGAGTTTGTTTTAGAAACGAGAGCTTACCGGCGTGCTGCCTCCTTCGTCTCCAGACCAGATAACCCGCAACGATAATTAGCAGCAGCAGCACCACCCCGCAGACAATTCCTGAGACCGTGGCTGAAGACGTGGCGGCTGTGGGCGATGACGAGACGATAAATTTGAGCCCGGGCGAAAAGCACGGCCGAGCTTTCGGAGCTCTTTGGGTCTCACCGACGACGTTGATGTACAGCGACGTGGAAGGAGTGGCCCAAAAAGTCGTGGAGGAGAAGTTGACGGCGTAGAGGCAGACGTAAGCCCCTTGGTCTTTGTCCTCTATATTGGGGAATTCAAACACGGCCACGTAGAGAACCGTGTGTCCAAACGCCGCCTTGGCGCTGGTGGCGTTGGTGTTGGTGTTCTTCAGGTAGAACGTGCCGTGGGCGTACAGGGAATGTACGGAGCACGTGAGGGAGAAGCCGCTGCCCCGCGTGACCGACACCTCCCGCGGGCTGTAGATCACCATCACCTGTAAGGTGGTCATGGATATGAGCGGCTTCTCCAGCGACACTGGCGACAAAGACACAGACGCAGCTGTTTACGGCCAAGCTCGCAAAGAACCCGGCAGTTGTTCGAGTCGAAGGGAGCACCTTTGACGGCCAGCTCCATGGGCTCTCCCTGCGGGTAGTAGATGATTTCACTGTCCACTTTCTTCTGATACTCGCAGAAGTACGAGCCCTGGTGGCTGAAGTTGACTCTGGGCAGGATGAAGGTGGCCGCCTCGCTCTCGCTATACTTGTGAAGCTTGAAGGAGCCCTGTAACTTTTTCAGCAGGAAGGTGCCGCCTACGTGCTTGGTCAGGACAGTGCAGGTGAACTCCACGTTCTCGCCCCACCTGACCTCCGCAGAAGGACTCACCGCGATCAGAGGCTTCTCCAGAGCACCTTCAACGACAGGGGGATGTATGATCATTGATTGATGTTTACTGAGGTCCAAGGGTGTACAAGGGAGGGGGGGGGTGTCCTTGATTTATGACGCGGTCCCATTTGGCCGTTTATCTACAGTGAAGCGAGCTTCAAGACTTGAGGATCACCGCTCGTTTTCTATTCAAACGGCAGGCAAAAAAAAATAAAAATAATAATAATCTGTGGACCGAGTAGGGAGCCTTGTGGAACACCACTGGTTTTCTACACAATTTCCGCAGAATGTCATATCAAAAATCTACTGGAACCGATATACGGCAAACCCATGTGGACCACTATCATCATTTAAGGAGTTTACCACAGTAAAAAAGAAACAGCAACAGACTAATTTATTTTCCCCCACGGTCGTTCGACATGGTTGATTACCCAAACAGATGACTCCGGCGTCCTCGGAGTGGCCACAGTTGTTCTCTCCAAAACCCTGGTGGGTGCAGTGCGTGATGGCCAACTCTTGGCCTTCGCACACCACGTTGTCCAGCCATATGGGGCCGCCGCCCCGCCCGAAGTGCGCGGCGGAGGGGGCCGACACGGCGTGGCCGCAGCCCAGCTGCCGGCACACCACGTCGGCGGCGCTCAGTTCCCACTCGTCGTCGCACACGGTCCCCCACTGGCCGGCGTGGAACACCTCCACCCGGCCGGAACAGCCGCCCCAGCCACCAACCAGCCGCAGTTTTGCTGTGAGCGAAACGGTGAGCTAACAACTGAGTGAACTCTCCACTTTCAAGACAAAAAAAATACCAAAGAAAAATGGACCTGGCAATGGTTCACGAGGCAAAAAAACATGGATGTTGCGAATGCATCTAGAACTACTTGACCTGCGCAGGAAACGCCGGCGTCGCGCTCATGCTCGCACGTGGAGCCGGTGAAACCCTTGAGCGAGCACTGCTCAAGAGAGGTGGCGTTGGCGAAACATACGTCGCTGGCCTCCGCCACGGGCCCGACGCTTTGACCGTAGTGGGCGCCGCCGTGGACGCTCACCACGCGGCCGCACTCCAGACGCTCGCACACCACGTCGGCTTTGGCCAGGTCCCAGTGGGCGTCGCACACCGAGTGCCACGTGTTGCCGTACTGGACCTCCACTCGCCCCGTGCACTCGATGTCGCTGTTCACCAAGCGCACATCCAAGCTGTCTGCAGGAAGCCAAGAAACGGCACCAAATGAACGGAGCTCGAAGACTCCCCCGCGGGACCGGAGCTCAGCAACCTTCGTGAAAGCG